GTCTTGCAAATTAGTTACATGTCCCTTCAATACACGGCGGGTAGAAGGCTGTACTGACGATTCCCAATCCTACCCCGTATTCACAGTCCGGTTTGTGTTTACAGCTAAGGGATGAAACACACAGAGACTGCATCGTAAAACGTCTTGTACATGACAGTTAAGTCGAATCCTTCTACTCTGCTATTACCACTCGGGCTACTTCCGAATGCCTTCATTTCTTGCAGGAATTGAATGCAAAAGGAATTTTCTCTCTGTTAGTACCACAGTAAATAGCCAGTCATCTTGGCCAACATCTATAAACAAGCATTTTTCTTGGCATAGTACGACTTTTTTGGAGCATATTTGCCTATTTGTTTCTGATGTTTATCTGAGGTGTTCGTAAGAAAAATGATGATATGTGGAGGCCGAGTTTTGAGAAGTTCTTTCAGGCCGAGGATTTTTTTTTTCCCGAAATTTCAGCTTCCTAGCTTTGTCTCTCCGTTAAGAATGGAGGGGCCTTGGCAGACATTTGCAGAATGCAGTGACTTGAAACACTGCTTTTTTTCGTATATCTAAATGCGGGGAAACTCGATATTTTGACGTTCTTTTTTTTGAAATGTTGAATATATTCTGATATCTTATTACAACATTGTGTTTTTAGATCATAAGCAGCCGTGGTGTTTCGTATTTAAATGGCCATTTCGTGAGCAATGCGCACTATGGGCACTCCACCAAAACGTCGTAACACGGGCTCCAGTCGACGGAATGTAAGTTCTCAGCTGTTTCATCGTTTTCCACTTGAAAAAACCCCCACAGTAAACTAAGGTACCATTACTTGTTGTTCGCAAAAATCTTTCCTAAACTTTGGTCCCTTATAGGTACCGAATGAATACGATATACCGGATAAAGTGGATTTCAATTGCGCCTGGAATGTGTACATGCTCAATAAGACGGCGTGCCTTCTTCACACTGTACCCAATCCAAAGTACCATTGCTTTCTTCTCACTCTTAATCGGCTATATCGTATTTTTTTTTGTAAAACTTCTGTCTGATTTATGCTAAAAAACTTGGAATAATTGGGTCAGCTATAGTTCATACTCGAGTTCTCCAAACATAGCTCCGACCGTCATACTGACGAGTTCCTATCGCGGTGTTGAGTTAAGACGTATATGACTTAATGAACCGAAACGTCTTGTCTTACTCTTCTTTCCTCATACTGTTCTATCATGCTGTAATCTATTGCACCTTCGCCATTTAGACTTCCAGGGTCAACCTGGTTGCTACAATCGGCTCGGCATAGCTGGCAGTTTTTCCAGTTTTTTTGACCAATCCTATTCGTTTATTGGTTAGCCTACAAGCAACTCTAGCACTGTTTTTGCTTCTGAGAGCATTATCTTCGTATCAGTTTTCCAGCAAAAGCATTTAGCGAGATTTTAGCCGTTTCAAGATGTCGTTGGTATTCACTGGGCACCACCATCCTTCGCGAACATGCATTAGAATATACTATATTATTTATTACGCGTATTGTGCTGTGTAACAGCAGTACAAAACGCATATTGTCACGGACATATCTGTGTGCATTTGTGTGTGTGTATGTATGTGTGTGTGTGTCCGCAACAACTTCTCAGCAACTTTCAACTCGGGAACCACGAAAGCTAGGAAGCTGGAAATTTACGGGAATGCCCCCCAGCCATGTGCGGTCCCGCAAATTTAAATTCAGCCTCTCCGCGGGTAATAAGTATTGCTCCATAAAAGTTTGGGTAGGTAAAATTATTATCATGAGAACCACGGAAGCTAGAAGGCTTAAATTTTGCGGGCATGCCGGCCGCCCGTGTGCTACCCAGAAAATTTAAATTCAGCTTTCCGCTGCCCGTGGGTAACATGTGGAGCTCCGTGAACAGGTAAATTATTTTCTCGGGAACCATGGAGTCTAGGAAGTTGAAATTTTAGGGTTGTGACCCACTGCTCACGAACTATCTTGCAAATTCAAATTAAGCGTTCCTGCGCTTTCGGGTGCCACCTACGGCCCCGTGAAAGTTTTTGTGGGTAAATTATTATCCCAGAAGCCATAAAATCTACGAAGCTGAAATTTTAGGGTATTGACCCCTGCCGATGGACTATCTTGCAAATTCATATTCAGTGTTCCCGCGCTCTCCCGTATCACATACTGGCCAGTGAAAATTTTTGCGAGTAAATTATCTTGGGAACCGCAAAGTCTACGAAGCTGAAATTTTAGGGTAATGACCCCTTACCCACGTATGATCTTACAAATTCAAATTCAGCGTCCTCGCTCTCGGGTATCACTTACGGCCTCTTGAAAATTTTGGCGGGTAAACTATTATCTCGGGGATCACGGAATGATATTCACCCTTCAAGACTTCAAATTACAAAGCAGTGAAAATCATTAATAGACAATCTTTTGGTGGGCAGAATTACACAAAACGAATGATTGCATCGGCTAATCTGGTGCGCGTTGCTATTTATTGTATTGGTTTTGTCAGTTGTTTTCGTTTAACACATTTTAGTACCACTGCCGCAGTAGCTACAGCTTTTATGTATGCATAATGAACCTATAGAAAGGTCGCTTTATTCTGGATTGTAATGGTCTGTAGATTCCAGTTTGACCTTCAAGTTTTACGCGGTTCTTGATAGTTTACAATGGGGATGTGCAATCCCTCCCGTTCAGGCCCCGAAGCTTAACCTCTTGGTATTCCTGACTTTCGGTTTTTCATTTTTTTTTTCTGGAAAATTACTGTAGCCGAAAAGCTTGGAAACAGAACTGAGGCACTGTAGTAGTTTTATTAGTTTTTAGCGAAAGGTTTTTAAATTTCTTCCTTTCTCTGCACCTCCTTTTAGTTGACTAGCAATGCATACTTTATGTATGTTGCCGCTTTACTGTTTGCTTATTTTTAGGACAAAAAACTGTCGCGATAATCCGTACTGTCTCGGCCGACTGGGCCTCGAAAGATGGGACAAGCTATTGGCTTCCATCAAAAATGACAACAAAACGAATTCGGATTTAGATCGGCGCGATATTGCAAAAGTACCGTGCGGTCTGGTGAACTTAGGCAACTCGTGTTACGTGAATAGCTTCTTGCAGGTTCTTCTGACAGTTAATATTGAATTTATCATTGAATTTGTCGATTTGTGATAACATACCACGGAAGGGTAAGTAAGTGAGAGTTAGCAAAAATTCTCATGTGGTTCGCCTGTAATTAATAGTCAGGAATTGTATTATTTTCTGACAAAAATTGCTGCAAAAATGCAGTGTATTAGTTTTTTTTTGCCATGCGCCCCATCGAGCGGCAAGCCATACGCAAAGCTGACGTAGAAACAGTGATTTATTGTATGATTTTCAGATATTTTTCAATGATCCAGTCTTCCGGAAATGCATCTACGATTGGCGTCCGGTTGCGAATTTTGCGAAACCAGAAAGAGAGAAAATAAATATTGAAGACTTGATGCATTGTATCCAGAAACTCTTCATAACTTTGCAAATTACGCCATATGTAAGTTGCCACAAGCCTACTTCTTTACTTCACCGCATCCCTACCTTGAGACAGTGAATTTTCTACGCTTGCAATCCCTTAACAGAAATACTTGGCAAAGCTTCAGCCTTCTCGACATATGCTTTGTGCGTGTACTGTTCATCACTATTTCGCTCTGAAAACTGCCACTTTTATATCACGATGAGATGTCTTACCGATTATGAAAAGCTTTATGACATTGAAAAAGAAAACAAAAATTTCGGAAAACTTTTTGAAAGGAAAAAAGATCAGAGATCCAAAAAAAAAAATTAATTTTTTTCTAAACTGGCATTATTTTAAAGGCTGAAGGGAAGTTAATGGACCGAAAAATTTCTTATCAATTTATAAAATTTATCAATTTCCCCTCCTTTTTTCATTTGTGTTTGTACATTGCTTTCTCTTTTAAATGTTTCTTACACGTATCTTAATTTTGTGCCTTGTGCATCTGTGTCGGCTTTTCGAATTTTTTGTGCCGATATGCCTTTGCCTTTTACAAAGAACCAGTTAGGGGGTTATTGTGACTTTTGATGTTTCAGGAGGATACGAGTGCAGAGGGACTTGTAAAACTGCTCCAGTTAGATGGTAATCAGCACGATGCGCTGGAATTTCAAATTCTTTTCTTTGGAAAGCTAGAGAAATTGCTCAGTTATCACGAGGAATGGAGGGATGTACGCGAAACAATTGTCAGGAGGTTTCAGGTCAGAAATATACCGTTTTGAAAAACTTTGAATAACATTTTTCTTGAGCCTCTCGCAAACCTGATCTAGCTTTATCCCATGTTTTTATCCTCTGCTGGCTTCGTGTGGTAAGCGGCGCTACTGTCCGGCTTGAAATCGATAGTTTGATTAGGCCAGCGCAAAAACCAACCCTTACTCTGTTTGTTGTTATTGAGATTTGGTTTTGAAACAATTTGAGAAATCAGAATCGCCATGAGTTTGTCACTAGTCGACACTCGAAAGAAGGAGCAGTCGGTATTTTTGACGATAGCCTGTTGCTTGTGATAGTATGCTATTACAAGGGCCGCATTCTTAATGCCTTTGTGAAGGATCTTCTGGTTCTGCTGTACAGAGCTGCAGCGCTTTCCATTTTATGAGAGAGTTGATTTGAATAATCTTTCTTGCGATCAGTTCGATTTTACTCGCCTCAAAATTTTGAGCGAATGCGGATTTTTGCTTTCTTTTTCGTCATCGAGGAACTTCTCCGCCTTGTTCGATTTGAGCTAGCTCATCTCTGTAACTTCCCACGCATATTAAGCAGAATGCAGTTGTTTCACGGGTGATGCAAGCATTGCTCAGTAGCATTTGCTGCTCATTTAGTACCAATTAAATGCATACTATTTTCAACGAAAATAACCACAAATTGCTGTTGTAAAAAAATAAAATAGTGACACTTATCAGGGCAGCTGATGAGATCATGCTTTTTGTGCACTTCCGTCCAGCGAACGTTTGCCTGCTAAGGATTTTCACTGCTTTGCATTTTAGTCTGTGCAAAAATAGTCAAAATGTTGTCCGGTTTCTAAGTTGCAGAATTTCCCACTAAAAATTTCACGCAACGGCACGTGAAAGCTGAATCTGAAACCTCGAGGGGTGAATATCCTTCCAAAATTTCAATTTCGTAATTTTCCAGCTTCCGAGTGATTTTTGGGGCAAAATTTTCAAGTGATCGTACCCGAGACTTTTGGCATACTTGGGGACTGAATTCGAGTTTGTAAAATCCCAGCTTAGGCAGGAACATTCTCTCGAAATTTTTATCCCCTTAGCTCTTCTGGCCCCATAGTTAATGATTTTTCCTGTCAAAACTTTCGCGGAAACGCTTAGAATTCGAGCAGTCGTAGATGGGCAGGAGACGCTACGCTAAAGTTTCAGCTTCTTGGCTTTCATGGTTTTCGTGGTAATAATTTTTCTCGTCAAAAATTTCACGGAGTCGTACGTTACACCCCGACGTAGGGGAAAGCTGATTTCAAACTTGTGGGGTTGTACGTTAGGAAGGGGACATTGACGTATTTTTTCTGCCAAAATTTCCATGTGGCCGCTGAATTTGAATTTTCTGGGCCGTATTTGGACAGTGTCCGTACTCTTTAAAATATCGTTCTCCTAGATTCTGTAGTTTCGAAATAATAATTTTCCCTGCCAAAACTTTTGCGGGCCATGCGTGTTACTCGCGGGCAGAGGAAGACTGCCTTTAAACTTTATGGGTCGCAAGTCGGCAGGGACATGCCCATAAAATTTCAGCTTCCTAGCTTCCGCGATTCCCAAGATAATAGTTCCCCCCGCTAAAACTTTTACTGGACCCTACGTGTTATCCGCAGGCATGGGAAGGCGAAATTTAAATTTGCGGAGTCATACATGGCGGGGAACATCCCGTACACTTTCAGCTCCCTAGCTTTTGTGGTTTCTGAGTTGAAAGTTGCAGACAAGGTGCATCGGACACACACACGCGCACACACACACACACACACACACACACATACACACACCCACATACACATGAACACAGACAACCCCGTGACAATATGCGGTTTGCGCAGCTGTTGCATAGCACAAAACGCATAAAAGCATGAAAATTTTTTACAGGGCGCTATAACGCAGACGATCTCATGTAAATGCGGCAGACGTAGTGTTACGGAATTGCCATTCAATCCGTTCTATTTGAGTATCGAAAAAGCTAAGTCATTGTTGAAAGCACTGGAAAATTATTTTCTGCCCGAAGAGTAAGTCGCGTTTCTTTATCTTACCGATTAAAATTGTGCTTAACTTTTCATTGTCAGAGAATGAGTTGCAAATGTATAATTTTTGTCTACTGCTCATACCCTTTTTTGTCGTGAACACAGAGCTTTACTTTAAACTCCGCTTTTTTAACTCGAAAGCAATAATTCGCTATAAAAATCATAGGAGAACTGTTGCTGTCGGTCGTCAAAAGCACCATCATTACAGTCTACCGTGTCGGAAAGAAGTACATTCTGAGGGAGTACCGTGAAACAATGTGTTAATCCATGTCTTGATTTTTTCTAAATTAGTTCTGATCAACACGCATTTATAAAAGTGCAACTAAACACAATGATGTTGTTTTTCTATAATTTTTTAAAGAAGTAATTCGATGTAGATAATCCGGAAATCAGAACAGAAAAATTGAAATAGTGAAAGATGAATAAAACATCGAAATTGGCTGGCTAAAATGATGCCGTAATGGCAAATTCGCAATTTTGATTAAGTTATACTGCTCTTTTTAACGAAAATCAGTATCTGGGAACGGATTAGCGTCTATTTAGCGTGATGGAAAATAAAGCGAATCATAGTCGTCTTCCTTCATTCTGTCTGTTCTACAGGAATTGACGGAACATAAAAAAAAAAACTCATTTTTACTCCTTCAAAAAACAATGCATCTGGCTGATAAAAAGTGCCTAACTGTATCTTTATCTGAAGTTACTTTGAACAGCCACAGTTCTAGAAGACGTGGACGAATAGGCTGGGACTGTCCGCTGTTTGAGTTCTGCTTGGCTATGCCTTCACGTTTTCTGTGATCACATAGCCGTGGTTTTGGTTTTGAACCTGTTATCCGTTTTAACAAAAGAGTTTTTAGGTTGCCTGATTACAAGTGCAGTGAGTGCGGGAAGACTGGTTCTACGCAGAATCGCCTTGCCATCAAAGAGCCCCCTCCTGTATTAACCATCCAACTGAATCGGTTCACGTATGACGCGTAAGCTTTTTGTATTTTTGAACGTCGAATTTTTTTTTTTTTTCAAAAAAGCAGAGACACTGAAATTTCATTCGTCTGATTTCAGTACGGGGCGCAAGAAGAAGATCCACTCAGCGCTGCAGTATCCCCGAGTCCTGAATCTGGGTGATGCAAAATACGACATCTGCGCAGTGATGATTCATGAAGGCCCGAATGCCGATTGCGGCCATTATTACGACCTCATCAAGCATCCAGGAACTGGGCAGTGGTTCACATACAACGACGAGGTGCTTCTTTCAAACTAGTAACATTCCTTGAGTGGCTGTTTAATGAATTAGCTTGCCTTTGTCCTGAAGGTTCATTTTGTGACATGTACAAATACGCCTAATCCGCACCCTTTGACAAGACCCCTTATTTCTTAGATTGTTTAGAAGCAAGATGATGGTGAATATGACTGCCTGGTATACACCAGTGCCAGTTTGCCTTTGAATCGGGTCACAGAGAATTGCTTTTCCCAATTCCGAAACTGAACCGTAGACTTCAGCAAACAGTGACTCTATTGACCACAGTTTTGGTCCTTATTGTTGGAAGAAAAGTCCAATTTTTTTTTGTGACTCTCGCATTCCGGCCTAAAGAACCTTATTTTAAAAGAAAGTGCAAAAGTGGCAAAATCACCTGAAGATTAATTTCAGGTGGTGAAACCATCGTCCACTCCTGGCGTATGCATCGAGAAAGAACGCATTTCAAAAGTAACGGCCGATATGAAAGGATGCTATGCATTGGTTTATCG